ATGGTCGTATGTGTTTGTTAGTTACCCAAACTCTGTTTATTACATCCAAGGCAAGTGCTCTTCTGGCCTCTTCTCCCTCGCCCCCCATCCCGCTTTCCGTTCGATATTGTCCACGCTTCAGTTCGTCTTTTTCTGTGGTTGGCCGTCAGGCTGCTAGGCAAGTTAAAAATTGAGGGCATGACTTTATTTGACGTTCATTGGTTGGCGTTGGTGCCTTTGTGTCGTTGCGCCCAAAAAAAAATCAAACTTGGTGTCAGGTGTTAAGGTGATGCTCTTGATGCTAGTTGAAGGATGGCCATTCTTTGTTGGTCTTCTCGCCAAGTTCTCTAGAGCCAGTCTCTGGCTGCATGGCCAGGCCCTTCCATACTGCAATGACGCTACTCCTGTTCTGATTGACGTCCTCGGGACTGATGGGTGCCCCACAGCATCAGAAGCCTTTTTGAGCAACTGAAGCAGGAGAGTATGGCCTGGGAGAAGGACTGACAGCCCTGCAATCCTAGGGAGTATGTCTGTATTCGGGGTTTCCCCAAGATTTTGGCGGGTGTGTTTTCTTTCCACATTCAAAATAACTACCAACCCCTTTCGACTTGCTCCGTGAGTACGCTTCGTCTGACAGAAAGTATGGCAACAGTAGAGGTATGTAGCACATCTTCTGCCCGTTCTTTGTATGTGTATGACCCTTCTATATCTTTAGATCTCGCTGCTCACTTTCGCATTAGGCAGTTTAATGCTGCTTCCTCTCCAGCTCCGCCACCTTTTCATCATACCTCCTGAAGGCCATATACCCCTCGAAGAAGACACTAACCATCCACTTCAACCACGTCAACCCGCCCATCGGAATCTTTTCGTTCTTCGCCAGCCTCGTCCGCTCAAACATGACCATCTCGGCAATATGGATCACCAACACGGGCCAGAACATGGCATTCACCAACCACTTGAACCCATCCGCGCCTCCCACAGGCCACCATTTCTGCATGAACTCCCACGCCCACAGGCCCTGCTCCACATACCCCCCTCTTACAGCTGCATAACAGCCAAAGAAGAAGGCAACACTAATAGCCACGGCGCCGTCCCAAAAAAGCCTAGGCGCCAGGTACGTATCAACCACAGCACCTCCTCCCTTCTTCTCCCGCTTCCCAATCTTTTCCTGCTCCTTCTTCTTTCCCTCCTCCTCCTCGCTAGCCACTCCCTCAACAGGAAGCCCCAACCCCTCCCTGGCCTCCTTGGTCATGGCCACCAACCTCTCCCTCCTCTCTGCCCAGCTCTTCATGGGCGGGTGGATGGGGATCGTATGCGCAATCGTCGTTCTGGTTTGGAAAGCTCCCTCCTTGGCGCGCGTCTGCACTTTCAGTTCCGCCAGGGACATGTCGACGAGGCGAATGTCGACGTCCTCGCCGCGGAGGTCGCGGACGAGTTGGCGGACGGGCTTTTCGAGATCTAGGGGAAGTTGGAGGAGGGCCAAGGGACTGTAGTGGATGAGCATGTGTAGGAGGTCGGTGGCGTGGTCTTTGTTCATGTGGGCGATGGTGCGGGCGAGGGAGGTGGGGTCGATGCCGTCTTTGTTGTTGGTGGTGGTGGGGGTGGGGGTGGCCATTGTTGCGGTGGTGGTTTGCTTGGTTTTCTATGTGTTTGGTGGCCTGGTGGGTTTCCTTCGTTGAGAGATTTAATTCTTGGCTGGTGGCAGGAGAGGGTTGATGATGCTCAGTCCGGTTGTTTCGACGGTATGAAATGAGGTGGGAGGAGGGAAAGGAGAGGTGAGGTGAGGTTGAGTTTAGGTTGGAGCTTGGGGCGCGCTTCGCTGGCACGCTACAGTTACCAGGTGGTCCGATTGGGCACATTACAGGGGAACCACAACTGTGGGTCGATGAGATCAGGGTCAGGTAGTAGGGGTGACCCATGCGCGAGGCTTGCAGGTTGCCGCCGAGCCGCTGATAATTGTTAGTGCGTCCCGCTGAACTGCACTTCAACCCAACGTCTCCTTGCTCGATTCACTTCACTACTATCGTTTCCATGGGCACGGAAAGGAGGAAAACCGATGAATTCCACTTACAGCCTCTATCTCATTTGATACAGGTTTCCTAGTAGTTTCCAACTACCACCAGTCCCCACAATGAAGTGCTGGATCAATGTAGGTGCCTCTCGATCCAGCCTTGATGGTCTCCATGATCCTTTTCCTACCCTCTTGGGCGTCGATTATCTGGCTTCCCTTTTCCGCGCACAGCACGGCCGCCACATATCGCCTCAGAATTCCACCCCCATCCGATCTCACCTTCTCCTTGTTTGGCTTGGGCATCTCTAAACACGATGAGGAGGCCAGTTGAAAGAGGTTGGCTATGGCCCAGAACAGGTGTACGGTGGTCGAGAGGTAGGCCCTGATTGGGTCGATCATTAATACTTTCAGAGGAGATTGCGACCTGTTTCGGCTGTTGAGGTAACGGTTCAGGCTCCCTAGAAGCCCCTTGAGAAGCTTGACTTTCTGAATTTCTTCCTCAATCTTCTCCAACTCCTCCCATAAGGGCAGCGTCCCTGGGCTCATCTTGGCCCTTCTGCGAACTTCCTGGAAACGCTGACAGATCTTGGTCTCCACGTCCATGGCCGAGACAAGCGCTTCATCGACCTCCTCTCGCAAACTGACTTGCCATTCTGGCCCAGGAACTGTCACCGGAGCACGACCTGCCTCCTCTATCCAACCCTCTTCATGCATCCGTCTCACCATGTCATATTCCGACATCGCCTCTACTTGACCGCGAGATCGTTTTGTCAAGTCGGCTTCCTCCTGCTCCTCTTTGGACAATGTGATGTTGCTGCAATGGGGGAGAGACCATATCGCGGACTTGTCCTTGAACATAGCCCTTGCCAAGACCCTGGGGAAGGAAGGGTGTGTTTGAGCAGAGATCAGATAATGGCCATCGGGCTTGCCGGCATGTTTCTGCAGGAGATCGACGAGGAACATCTCTCGGTGGCGTACCGCCGATTTTGCTCGGTTGAGATCGTTGCAATGTGCTTGGTCTCGTAGCCGCGAGAACCATACTTCGGGATTGGCGTCTACGAATATCTCCAGCGCGACTGTTGACACTGGCAGCGCCATGACGACGGGTATGTGCTAAGTCTTCTGGATGATCTTGAATGGGGGTTGTGAGTATGGGCAGAATTTCTTGGACTCAGAGCGGAAGGGCGATGGTGCTTCAGCGCTCACCATATACCAGCTGGAAGACGGGACAAACGGGTTGTCCTTTATACATCAGCGGCACTGTTTGTTGCTTGATGTTGGTATCCAGGGAAACACCCATTGGGCAATCCCCACGGCCTGAACGACATCTTCCACGATCAAGCAGCCATAACAAACTTGAGGGGAGAATGACTAGAACGCGAGGCAAGCATTTAAGCTGAGCGGCAAATTGGTTATCAATGCTACGGACAAGACGGAACTGAAGCAAACTGCCCGTGTTTATGAACTGAAAGCTGACACACAGACACGGAATTGTATGCCAACGCACGTCAAAGTCAATTACGGAATCTCGACTCTGTCCTGACTCTCTCACAGTCTTTCTACCATTGAGCTCAGGCTCGAGTCTCGAGCTTGTCCCGTGTTCCTCTCTTCATTTCCCAGATTAGCCAGGGCTTAACATCTTGATCGGATACTTTTCTCTTCTGCCAGATGCCCATGCTACACCTCTGCTCGATCAAAAGCGAACTTAAGAAAAAAGTTAAGAAAAATTAGAAAAGAGATATACAGCACCTGGGATTCGCTGGTCGTCACCGACCCAACTACTAGTCAGGCGATTAGTGACTTATCTATGGGAGAGCGGACGGGATCCCGAGTTTTCCACTATCTATGGCCGTATTTGCTTCTTATGACCAAAACTGGAGCTTATAAGACACTTTAAGGTTGAGACTGCCATCGACAAATCCCAATTACCTCAGGTACCACCTCCCGATATCATCATAAACGTAGCTCATCCGGGACTGAACAGATGAGACCGACTAACAGGTTAGGGAAACCAGTCCGCTACCACTCTTCAAGGAAAAAAAGAAGAAGAAAAAAGAAAGGCCGTTGCAAGACTGTAATAGGGATTACAACAATTCGAAAAGACATCGGCTAGAGTCCCGTTTGGATATGTCTATCCAGAAATTGCCTAGAACTCAACATCAGAGGTGTAACAAAGTCGCTGGATGCGTAGTAGGAGTATACCCAAGGTATAATGTCAAAGGTCTCACCTATTTTATCCAGGACGAGCGTAGGTATTTGTACAGACAGGCAAATCTCCTCTGGTCGGAAACAGAGTGATTTGCCCTTCCCAGTGTGGATCTCGTATCTCATCTTCGAGAATTCATCAATTGACCTGGTTGGTGGTTGTAAGAAACCATGTTTGGCGACCTCAAAAGTGGACGTGGTGGGCGATTATGGCAACATGGGAATCGATTGGGGATTATTGATAAGATCTGCCGTGGAGGTTGAGGAGAAAATCCGGCTCATATGCAAGTCAATCGCTCCTTCTTCTGCAACACTCGACAAGAATGGAACACATGGTTTGCATTTAGTCGTCAGAGATTCACTGGCGGCTTCATCGCCAACAATTCTCTTTGATCAATACATCATCTCAATTGAAACACACATAGTTTCACGCGAACAAAAGGAACACTCACACCGAGCCAACAGTACATCCAGGGCGGCTGCAGACGACCACTAACACATCGGACAAAGCAGCAACAGAACCAACAAGCCGAAAATCAGCGGCAAACACGGTGAGCTAACAGGCGAATCAACAAGCACAAGAAATGGAAATGGATTAATCGACGTTGGCAGAAACAGGTTGCAACACGATGACGATGACCTCTATCTCTTGACGCCCTCTTCCCAACATTGCGAGACCGGCTCCTCAACCATGTCTATCTAATAGCGTTCCCGCGTATCCTCGAACTGGAAGAAATCCGACGAACGTCCCCGCCGCGACATCAAGACCGGCGTGATTGGCCTTGCACGAGTTCCAATAGCCGGTTAGACATTACATTAGGGAAACCACAATAGTCGTAAGGGTCGAACTCGGGGTAACTAGATAACCGGAGGTAAAAAATGTCAGAAAAGGATACAACATGGCTTCGAAAACGGCTCGCGTGGGATGTCGTACGTTACGGGTAGTCTCTTTACGGGTTTGGGATCTCCTGATGTGGATTCCCCGGCTCTCGATCCCTCTGCCTTGGGCTGCTCCGCCTTAGACTCATTGGCCTTAAGCTCCTCCACCTTCTGTGCCTCAGCTTTGGTTTCACAGATCAAAACCAACGCCAGGTAGTTCCGCAAGAACTTCTCGGCGATGCTCCGCATAAATTCTCGTGCTTCTCGACAGGAGTCGCTGGCAGGCAAGGACCACCAGGCGTCAGCCGTAGCCAAGAAGAGGTAAAGACTGGCGGCTAAGTAAGTCGAGAAGTCCTTGCAGCACCTCATTATACACCCGCCCAAGTCAATGATAAAGGGTCTGACTTCCGTGAGCCGTATGTGGACCTCCCCGTCCTTCGGCTGCGTTTCGACAATCTTGGTCTCCTCCGTCAGTAGTTGGTCTCTGATCAACACCGCCAGCTCCTTAGTCAACTCTTTCATTGACTCTGGCGAGATCAAATCATCGGATAGAATCTTCGCTCTGTCAAAAATGGGCAAGATCAACCCGATACCAACCAGGCGCTCCATAATCGTACTCGCCCCCATTTCATCACGAATCTTCCATTCCCCTTCTAGTTGTTGAAGATACCTCACGGTCATTTCAAAGTCGTTGATGGTATTTATGGCGATGAGATACTCGCTCTCAAAATCAAACACCTCCATAAGCGGCTGCGGCAGTTCAACCTGTTTATCGATGACCATCATCTTCGCAAGTCCATTTGCGAAGCTTCCAATATCGACTCTGCCCTTGGGTGTAAGGTATGTGGAGGACTTTGGGAAAAGCTGGCTCTGTCCGAGTCGCTTTCGCTTTGGACCGATCCCTATACTTTCAAGTTCAAGGCGATTTTTGACGAGATTGTCAAATTCTTCAGATGGTATGCCCAGTTCTATCCCAGCGAGACCGGCGCTCGGGATCCCTGCCTTTGATTCGACGAGTAAGACGGACGTTACATAGTTCATGAAGAAATCCCTAACAATAGATTTCAGCACTCCTATTCCTGTGTTTTGCGGCGTTGCCAGTGGGACACTAGTAACCTTCAAAACGTTCTGTGCTGACCAGAAAAGAAGGTTGCTGACAGAGAGATAGTCCTGGATTGAATCGCAGTCGGCTATTGCCCTCCCCAAATCGAGAACAAGGCGTCGTAAAGACTCGAGGTGGTCCTCCTTGTCCTTTTCACCCTTGTGAAACTCTCGGGCACGGCGCGCCGCTTTGGCTACAGCGTTCGCCAAGTCAGGAAAGTCTTCGGCATGAATCAAGTCGTCATATGAGAACTTGTGACTACCGAACGGGCTAAAGTCCGCACCAAACTGCTCCTCTAACCCCTTTTCCATTTCTTGACTTGTCATTTTCAGTATCTGCTCCCGAGCAAGTCTTTGATCCTGCTCACGGTCGTCTCGGAGATAATGCTGCTCGTGGCGTGACAGATTCGGTACATCTTTATCGCCGCGGTCCCCAGCCATGACTTCGCTCAAGACTTTTACCAATCCGTCGGAGTCGAACTGGCCATCGTCGGTCTCGAACTTCTTGGACAAATGGTGTCTGCGACACAGCAGCCACAATCTTTTGTCCTCCGCATCGGGACTTCTCCCTCGCTCGTCGAGAAGTCTGTCGACATCTTCGGGTGGTATATCGAGAGTCAAAAACGTAGTCATCGTGAGGGTGAATATGAAATAACCGTGAGTTAACAAGAAAAAAAAGAACAGCGAATGCGCGGATCTGAAGTTGACGATAGTCCTAGGCCACTCTGGTCATATGGGAAGACCCAGAGTCCCTTTACTTTATATCTCCATCATCCTTCCTTTTCGCCGGTTTCCTCATGAACCATAGCACTCGCCTGCCTTTGTCTAGCATCGCGGACTCGTTGGCCTTGACCTCTTTCCAGCAGGTCACAAAAGGTGTTGTTGGTGATCGACTAAACAGACCCATGAGAGAAAAGCGCACGGAATCCAAACCAACATGAGGAACCTCCTGAAATCCTTCAAGGGTGTGGACAAAGGGGGCCTCGAACCAACAGCACACGTATCCGACAGGCGTCGAAACCTCTTCTGCCCACTTGCCCAGGGCGCTTGAGTAGAAATCGCTTCGAAACCTACCCAGTAACTGGCACTGTCCCAACGAAAAATTGCACTCTACTGAATTGCACCTTGCAGAGAGGCTTCTTGATCTGAGCTGATTACCTATTCATAAGACACTCAGCAACGCAACGATGTCAGAAAAGCCAGAAAAGCCAAGTGATCTCGCGAACTAAATAAATCCATCTCTCATGTTTCCCCTAAAAAGCGCGAACCCAATTCCTCCTCATGTTCATATAGATGATCGTTGACTGACAAAGATCGATACAAACACCTAGATACATAGCTCTTTCTTCTTCCGAATATCCCCAAGCATGGGCATCTTTTCTCCAACCTACACCAGCGTCACGAGACTCCGCAAGTTTTTGCGTCCAATAGCCCGCACCTTTTCTTCCGCCTTTCACTCGACGACATCATCTCGAGGCAGAGACTACCCACCGCCAAGAATAAGAAGATAATGATGCGCTTGTAGGTTTTCATGTCCGAGCATTCGGTCGAAGGGCGACGCATGCGGTTAGGTCTTCGTACTGATTAGGTCGGAATTCAACCATTAGAGCTAAACCAAACGTTTACACTTCTCAGCCAATCCCGTCATCGTCACCTTCCATGGTTTTGTTCTTCTCCCCGATGGCAAGCAAGTCGTCTAGTATAAACGTGCCCTTCTTCGTTCCACTTATTTTGTCGGTCCAGCACTCCTCACCCAAAATCCCATCTCCCAATTCTTGCTCGTCGTTCTGGCAGAGCAATTACTCGGCATCGTTTCGTTTCTCCTGCATTTCCTCCCCCTCTCATAAGGCTACAGGAAGTTGACCGTCATCTGATAGGACGGGAAGCATGACTTCAGCTATCTTAAACTCAAGTATTCCCTAATTGACAACTTCTTCATCGCCCAGGAAAGTCACAAACGTGCAAGGCGTTGCAGTCAGAATGCGCCCAAGGTACCAAGGCACGACTGGTGAGCTCGATGTTTGTTGACCGTTCGATTTGATGATCTGCGCTTGGAGGAGCCAATTCCATTCACCCTTTGATCTCGTCAATTTCTAGGTAATGATTGAAAGTTATATGTGGGATGTTTCAACCGAGACAGATATTCATGATTGTGGTGGAAACAACGGTTTGCGTGATGATCATCGCTTATTGGAGTGAAAGATAGCTTTTCACCCTTGAATGCATTTCACATCAGGTACTGACGACAGTTAAGTGTCCCAACCTTCGGGTCCCTTCGACCCAGGCCCTCAAATATATAGTTGGTTCGGAAGATTCTCCTCTTCCACGTCTACCTCCATATCGCCACTACCATCAATATCAAGTCTTACTCACTCCGTAGATACGACTCTTTCTTTCATTATTTTTCGTATTATTCTCTTATTGCTCTTTCTGAAAGATAGTGTAAAAGATGCAAAAGAGAAAAAAGAGAAGAAAAAAGTAAGACATACAACACCAGGGATTCGCTGGTCGTCACCGATCCAACTACTAGTCTGGCCCTCACTGGCTTATCTATGGGAGAGCGGACGGGATCCCGAGTTTTCCAGTGGGTATGGTCGTATGTGTATTTCTTGTGCTATCTAAGTGCTTATAAAGTACAAAGCGAGTGGTCCTCCTTTGGCCTCTTCGAGGATGTGAGGAACTGATCGAACACATAGCGTACCCTAGAAAAGCGAACAGGACCCCCTTTCTATATACCATCTTCATGGCCATCATCTAGCCGTCCGTTTCGTTTGCATATCAGGCGCCGTCGAATTATCGCCTATATCATGAGCCGCGCGAGAGCCGCACGAAAGCCGCGAGGGTATGGCAAACATGGGCGCGGGGGGTACAGGTCCCGAACCCGACAAAGGCCGACGTCACTCCATCCGCGGCACACACACACGGTGGGTGTGAGTTTACGCAACACACAAGACAACACAAAGCGGGTATGGAACCAACAGGCCAACGAAGACGTGCCAAAACACACTGGAAATTCTGGGAAAGGAGCGGATCCTCCAAAGTCAGAAAGAATGGATTGTATTCCCCCCCTTCTCTCTTCCCCTCAACACCATGACCACCTTCTCCTCTTCCTATCTACTGCATTTTGAGTTCACTGTTGGATTCCCTACTTTGCTCCCCTCATCAGGCTCCCTATTCCCTCGACCGTTCCCTCAGCCTTTTATGCTACCATGGATTGGATTCTCCCCTGATCCGTCAGACAACAACAAACTCACCCTCATCTTCCGTCTTCGCTTTTCAATCTCCCCTAAACACAGACTCCACCAGCAACACCGACGCTACATAGTTCCTCAAAAATAGAACCACAGGCTTAGCCGCTTGTCTCGTCGGATTCTCTTGCAGCCGAAGAACTTCCGCCGCCCCCAAGAACAGCATGAGACTAGTTACCAACCAGTCCTCAAGCGATTCGCACTCTTCTATATCCTCCTCCAAAGCTTTCATAAGACTCTTCAGTCCCTTTCGTTGTTGCTTACTCCCCACCTTGTCTTTCCGCAAATAACTTACGAATCCTTCCGCCATACCAGCGAGAGCACAAGGCTCTTGGAAATCAGATCCCGTAAAAGTCCGCTCCTGCACACCGAGACCCAGGTACTTGATCCAGGAACGAGAACGCTTGGGTTCTTTCATTAGGCGATCGCCGAGTTCCTGCGCATTTTTCAGCGCATCCATTTCCCATTGTTTATCCTTTGCCTCGTCCTCGTCCTCGGCATTGTCTGTACCTGCCGCGGCGCTGTTGTCGTCGCTGTCACTGGAGTCGGAGTCTTGTAGGGAGGTCCAGTGCGAGATCATTATCACGGTGAGCGCATTGGCGAGGTGCCCTAGCCATCGCTTGTGGCGATGTTCCCATTCTGACTCTTCTTCCGAGGTGAGATCTTCTTGTTGGGGATCCCAGTCGTGTCTGGTGATGTCTAATAGACGGATACGGCTGGAAATATCGAGTGACAGTGGGATTGCGGCTTCTCCCGGGTCGACTTTGGTGTTGTTGCTTTCCTGTTTCTCGAAGAATTTGCGGAATAATGGAAGGAGCGGTTCTCCGCCGTCTTCAAGGAGGTAGTTGCGGTCTTCCTCGCTGATTTTTAGGCTCAGCGAGATAGAGATGGACTTCTTGGGTTGATTGGGGATTGTGGAATTAGACATGTCGACGGTGTTGCGCTCGATAATCGATGCTCGGTGCTCGAGAACTAGTCTCCATTTGGGAAGGGCGAGCCTGTTTCTTATGTAAAGTTGCTACTTTCGAGTCATCTTGGACGCAGTGGCTCATGTTGTGGGAGCAGGGTGTTCATTGATCAGATCATCGCAAGTGGAAACAATCAAGTTCACCAGCACCTGCCCGGATGGTGGTCATTTGAAGAACAGCGTGTTAGGTGACCAACTACAAACGGTTGTTGATTTTGTACTAACAAGATACCAAATCAAATCAGTTCAATGGAGTGACTGGAGAAAAGGAGCCGATAGAGCACTCGGATCATCCTCCTCATACAGTCTTGGACAGTATTTCCAGGCAATTGAACTCAACTTCTGACTATTAGTTCTAAATTGTATGGTGAGAATTGAAAAATTACTCGAAGTGCTGCTTGCTGCATAACGGGATCAGTAACGTGAAAAGTGTGCGATAAGGTAACTTCATTCCATCATCACCGAAGCCACTCGTTTTACATCTTATGGCGTGATTATTCTCAGATGAAAAACCGACCCAATAGGCCTGTGGTCAACTCGATATGTTCGCTTAGGAGGACTCATACCTCGAGGAACTCAGAAGGTACGCTGCCCCAACGAGCCAACTACCATCTGTGACAAACTGGATATCACTAACCATCCGTGTTGACATTGACGGCCGTCCTCGTGCCGTGCCAACATCGATTCATGTTCCCGTTTGTTTCTTTGAGCTCCGTCTCAACGTTGACATCAGCGATGGCTTCAACCAAGGCCAGGAGAAGGCAGTGATGTAGCCTATATCTAGAGATGACAAGTGGCCTAAAACTTCCAAGGGCAACAATCACACCAACACTAATTCAACCGATATCACCTCAACATGTACCTTACGTTGGTGATATCTTTCACAATCTGCACCGGCTACAAACAATCAAAGGAATCGCAGTTTGTGTGTCAAGCTCATGCGCCATGAGCCTCGAACATAGCTCCAACTCCATGATGGTCCTATAAAGATGCCTCTCCAGTCTTCATCTCCTGCCATATTCTTCAAAGCATTCTATCTTCACCATCGACTAATCAGCGCCAAAAAGGCAACTCAGTTGACCATTACAAGCCCTTTTAACTTCGAGCCATTCATTTTCAGCAAGAAATATTCCCCACAAAGATCAGCCCCCCAGTATCAACACAAAATGAATAACCGCGCAGACATTGTACTAGCCAAGTTTTCAAGCCACCAGTCAATGATAGAGGATTGTGAATGGGATCAAGGAGACGAGAAAGTGGCCCGTTTATTAGGGAAACTCAAGGAGCAAGAGAAGCAACTCCAAGCCCTGTTTAAGAAGCTTGTCGGCACTCAGTCCGTAGAGATCAAGGAAAAGTGGGATGAACTGATCAAATATCTCGACAAAGGTACTTATGTATTCGCTCTTCCCCAGCGTCATCTATTTCTCCCCTCCATTGTTCCTTGTTTGAACAACTACTAATGACTACGCTACGGTATCCACTAGAAACCACGGCAGAGAACATGCCAACCGACGACAAGGACACGTTCCTCAAGAAACTTCAGACCCTCAGTGATAATATCACCCCAAAGATACAAGCTCTTGAAAGTGCCATTACGAAGCCCCAGACGACCGAGGTGGCTCCCGCAGCCTAGGTTAGATTAAAGGGATGCGTACCTACGCAACACAAGGCTCCCGCGGGTTCAGTTGTTGCACGTGGTAGGACCACACAGATGGACAGAAGACTAAGGTAGCTGGACTACCTTAGGTACCTAGTTTAGGTAGGGATGGATAGATTTGGTTTGAGATTAAGTTCCGGACCTGTCAACCGCAGTTTGGCGAATTTGCGGTTCTTTTACCCGTCATAATGCTGTTTTTAACGGTATGACCAGCAAGTGATTAACTAGACGTACCCAGCTAGTGTGCCTGACACCAAGCTCGAGAGAATAACGAACAGTCTTGGAACACCTTGAAAGTTCGCAAAATACGTAGCAAGACGAGGCACAGGTGCCTCTGTTCGCCAATCCTTTCCCAGATTAAGAAGTAATGACCTTACAACATTTCAAAAAGAAGCAAGCCAGTAGGACGAGATCAGTTTTTGTGTTCATAAAAAATCATTGCTCTCATATGGGATATCATAGATGTCAAGTAGTACAACCCTAGGCCCAAGGTTTTGTCCCCCTTTCCGTAGACACCAGGAAAAAATAATACCGGACCCGGCTCCTGTCGCTGACCATCCTTCCTGTAATTATGGTATTTTTGTTGTTTTACTTTATTCTTGTGCTCGTAAAGTCGGCTACACTTGGATTGCCTAGTTGAGCTTGATAGAAACAGACTTGCACTGGGTGTAGTTGGCCAGAGCAGCCTCGCCGAGTTCGCGACCGATACCGGACTCCTTGTAACCGCCGAAGGGAAGCTGGTGGTGAAGAGCGTTGTCTGTTGGGAGACATTTTGGTTAGCACGATGCAACGTTACTCCATCCGGTACAAAGCAGGTATACTTACAGGTGTTGACCCAAACGGTACCAGCCCTAAGGTGGTTGCTGACGCGGATGGCAGTGTTGAGGTCCTTGGTGTGGACGGCAGCAGCAAGGCCGTAGTTGGAGTCGTTGCCGAGCTTGATGACTTCCTCCTCGGTGGAGAACTTGGCGACGGCGCAGACGGGGCCGAAGATCTCCTCCTTCATGATCTTCATGTCGTGACGGACGTTGGTGAAAATGGTGGGCTGGATGAAGTAGCCCTTGTCACCGTGGCGCTCACCACCAGTCTCGACGGTAGCACCCTCCTCCTTACCGGCCTTGATGTAACCCATGATGCGGTCGTACTGGAGCTGGCTGACCTGGGGGCCCTGGAAGGTCTCGTCGTGGAAGGGGTCGCCGACCTTGTTCTGCTGGGCGCGCTGCTTGAAGGCCGTCACAAACTTGTCATAGATACCCTCCTGGACGTATACACGAGAACCAGCGCAGCAGGTCTGGCCGTGGTTAAAGTAGATACCGAAGTTGACCCAATCAATGGCCTGGTCGATATCGGCGTCGTTGAAGATAATGTTGGGGGACTTGCCACCAAGCTCGAGGGTAACCTTCTTCAGGTTGGACTCGGCGGCAGCCTTCATGATTTGGCGGCCGACCATGGTAGAGCCGGTGAAGGCAACCTTGTCAATGTCCATGTGGGAGGCGATGGCGGCACCAGCAATTCTGCCGAAACCAGAGATGATGTTGAGAACGCCAGGAGGGAAACCGGCCTCCTTGACGAACTGAGCAAAGACGAGAGCAGAGAGAGGCGTCTGTTCAGCGGTCTTCATGACGATAGTGTTACCGGTGGCCAGGGCGGGGCCGACCTTCCAGGCAAGCATGAGGAGAGGGAAGTTCCAGGGGATGATCTGACCGCAAACACCGAGAGGCTCTTGCCTGGTGTAGTGGAAGGAGTCGGGGGAGATATCAATGGTCTTGCCCTCGATCTTGTCGGCCCAACCGCCGTAGTAGCGGATAGTGCCGACGACGGCGCCAACATCGCCACGGGCCATGGTGATGGACTTGCCATTGTCGAGAGACTCAACAGCGGCAAGGAGGTCGAGGTTTTTCTCGAGCAGGTCGGCGAGCTTGAGGAGGTAGATGCCACGCTGCTGGGGAGTGACGTCGCGCCAGACACCCTCGAAAGCCTTGCGGGCAGCGGCGACAGCGATATCGACATCCTTCTCGGTGGCCTCGTGGACGGAGCAGATGACCTCCTCGGTAGCGGGGTTGATGACCTCGAAGGTCTTCTTGTCGACACCCTCGACGAACTCGTTGTTGATGAACCTGGTAGCATAGGTATTGTGGTTAGCTCTCGTGCTTGGGAAGCAACTTGGGGGAGGAGAGAGCTGTGGATGGGAACTTACAAGCCGGTGGGCTGCTTATAGGTGCCGGTAATCGGCGTCTTGAGCTCAACAAAGACGTTGGAAGACATTGTGACAGAAGCTAATGGAGAAGTGGGGTACGGTGGTGGGGGGTATATAAGAAGAGACAAGAACTGAAGAGAGAAGAGAGCAAGGCTGGAATAGAACACAAACTCGAAACTCTGGGAGAGTGTTCCGGTTAAATACTTGATGAAGGAGAAGAAATAGTTGACGACTTGGAGATAGGAGAGACAGAAAAGCACGACGAGGTGGTGGGAGGGAGAGGTTCAAGTAGTCGGCGCATGTGCAGTAGATTTGGAGACTAGTCGAGTCTGGGCACTCGAGTAGTGTACATGCAGTACCTGCTTACCGTCTTTGTCCCTCTTTGCGCCCGAGGTGGATCGTGATAATGCGGGCGGTAGGTAGGTCGGGTCCCCCTGGAGGATGACCGCAACACGGAGCGGGGTCAATGATGCCGGGCGACGCTAGCGTGGGCGGCTGACGGTTGAAACCAGTCTGAAAAGGTCTCGGGTGTGGGTGTGGCCAAGTGCCACCCACCTCCTGTCTCGTCCTTGACCAGGGCAAGCGGGACGGGATACGAAACCAACACCTACTGCGGATCTCGAGTCGTTCATCAACCTCGATCAGATCCTTATCTTGATGTTCAGCGAGATAGTACATACAGGACACACCACATATGGCAACTGAACCGTAGGTAAAGAGGTACCGACGTCTTATTTTCTGGAAACGGATAACTCAAGTTGTCTCGCGACACGGAAAGAGAGAGACTGGACGGGAGGCTGAGGGGTTCCATGTCCATTGATTGCCCTATTGTGATGGGATTACCAAGCAGCAAGGGTAGTCGGATCGGCATTCAATCATGGCCACGTCGGGGCTGTCATTGTTGCCGTCGTCGCTATGGGGTCCCCACAGTCTCCATACTCTTTCCCCGCGTGCCTCCCCCGCATTCCCCTTGTCTGTGCGGAAAAGGGGGCCCGCCAGTAAGCGTACAGTCCGCCTCCAGGATCTCCCTGCGCGTGGCCAATCGTTGTTTGAGAGTGAAGCCGGGCTGGATCCAGCACAGCCAATCGCACGTGACGTCTCAACTCTTTCCTTGGATGACCATCAATAGGGCCGACAGCCTCTTCTCGACCGTCCCTCCAGGTGTAGAGTATCAATCGGATGAAGGGGCTCATGCACATTGGACAGTTTCCCCAAGCTTCCCCAAAAGAAAGAAAACAGAAGAAACGAAAAAAATGAGGCGCAAGTGACCAGCAGTTGGCGACTACAACAGCGCCATTTGGATGTCATAGGTGATGCAGTGCTTACCCCGCAGATTTCTCCAGACAGCATCTCGCTGCCCCAAAGTCCACCCCCTGTTCCACCCGTTCGCCCATCCATCCTCGTGTTCCAGCCACCATCATCTCCAAAGGCCTTTTTTTTTTCTCGTTCCTTGAACCAGTCTGACAATGCTTCTCAGAGGAATATGAAGAGTATCCAAGATTTAAGCGTGTCGGTCTCAGATGCTATTTTTTTTTCTTTTTTTTTTTTTGGCTTTCGCCGAGAACGAAACTGGAGCTTACAAGACCTAATAGTTGGAGTTCCTGAAACGGGAACACAAATTTCGGGGTAATGTTCTGCGAAGCGCCTGGGGTGGAGTGTTGACCATGTGCGATGCCGCTGTGGACTCTTTTTGGTTCTGAACCCCAACCCCGGACTTTTGAAAGGACAACACCAACAACACCATCCTCACCCAGCGACAACCAAGCCCATGCCAGCTGATGTTCGTTCAAATGCTACCTTGGCGGCCATATGTAGTGTACATACATCGGATTCGGCGCCCTTCCCCCACGGACGGACACATATGCAGCCACGAGGCATCAATCACTTCCGGCTCTCCGAGATTCTTCCCTCTCTCCGGAGCATGGGGGGTCTTGTGCGGGATGGTAGGTTTGCTTTGTCCAACCTATCACGATCGTATTTGTGCATCTGGACGTTCCCATGACACGAGGCCATCTCCACACCAACGAGCCTCCGGGTTCTAGTATATGTAGTGTATAATACGGACCAAGCAGATGGTAAGCAAGCTTATGTATGAGGCGACTTGCTATCGAATCAGATGGATTGGATGTCGTTCCAGTACACTACATGTTTGATGGACTTTGTTTGGAGGTTTCTCCAAACAATGTAGGATGACATCAACGCAGCATAAGTCACCCATTACCACGAATGCTCAGAGACGTCCACATTTCCTTTACAACGTGGCTTAGGTCAGAGCAAGCAGAGTTCAAGTTCGTGCGCCGCATACTTTTCAAGCACAGAGATCACCAATAAGGAACCAAGTACATACACATTGAATTGCATACTCGTTGAACAGCATCTGGGCGTTGCAGATATAAGTGAGGGATGTCTGTTTGCTATTAATGACCGGTCCTGCCCGTCTGAGCGGTGCATTCAGTTCTTCGAGATCGGTTCCTAGAGGTATTGGACTGGACCGACCAGTTGGGTGTGTCGATGTTTTCGAATCAACTTGAGTACCTATGAACAACCTGCTTTTTCATCAGCTGGTGAGTGAGGTAGGCACTCACATGTCAAGTGGAACTTGCGCTCTCTTTGCTGTCGTCGAACCTTTTTTTTTTTTTTTTTTTTTTTTTTTTTTTTTTTTTGGTTGGACTTTCAGTTGACAAAGTGCAGCCAAAAGGGCAACCAAGCAAACGGAAGCGTGAACCTCAACGGCCACCGGCAGGGGCAGCCGAGCAGCATGCACGATTACGAAGTGGGGCCCAGCGTTTGGGGCTTGTTAGAGTGAATGGGGCGGGAGGACTGACTAACACGATTCCAACAGTGTACCAGCTTCTCAGCACGTGTAACTGCTAACAGATGTTTAAGTGTCGCTACAACACCCCAGGTAGCACCTAATGTCGGTACTACCATAGTGAGGAAGGAGCGACTTCACGACCAGCGAGGCAGCTCAGTCCTGTGAAGGAACTGAAAGAATTGATGGTGGAATTGGGCAATACGGTACTTTACTCTGTCTGTCGGATGAGGCCAACGAAACCCTGAATTGCAACAGTTTTTGGCATCATTCCGTTCGTTGCGGCCAAATGCCATTTTCTAGCAGCCTTCGACGACCGCCACTCGTCGGTTGGTCTGCAATTTTTGACGCGCCTCCCAAAATTTGCTAGCATTGCCTGGACGTTGTGTATCAACCCGTTGGGGCTAGAAATAAGGGCAAAATTTTTCTCCTGCCAGCTCCTCCAATCCATGTCCGAACACCTCAACGGCCAGCAACCAACGCCGATCCACGACCGACCGACCGACCGTCCGTCTGTCCAATTGATATCCATCCTATACCGTAGCATCTTCACGTGTACCATTTCTCTTGACTGACTCGATCCCTTCGCGCGGCCGCTGATTGCTCCGGTCGCCGGCTCAGGAGGCCGCTGCTCCCTTGCGACAAGGGTCAGAGTCTCTTTCAACCAACACCGTTCCGTTGTCGCGTTCAATGGGTCGTGGTCCTTCCTCTGCTTCACTATGGCCGACCTCAACTTCACAGCGGCCTTCGAGGCCAACCTCCTCGCTGCCCTGAGCAAGCATACCGAAGAGGCCAAGAGCCCGGCTTCAACTCCGACTCCCGCTCCCGCTCCGGGTCCAGCTCCCGTTCCCACGCCGACACCACCGTCGATACCGACCCAAGATGCTTCTGCTCCTCCTCCCCAGCCAGTGCAGCAACAATCACAACAAGCACAGCAGCCACCGCTGAACCACTCCCTACAGTCGTCTCAAGGACCCCCGAGCCAGACAGCCCAGCCTCCCCAGCAGCAATTGTCACAAGCTTCCTCTCTCAGCCATGCTCTTCAGCAGGCTCTACAAAGCTCGAATCCCCCGTCTTATCAGACGCCCTCGATTCACCAGCCTCAACCCTCCTCGACGACCGCTGCACCCATCTCCCAACCACTCGTACAAGTCCCGCCGCCCCAGCCGAGCCCTCATGCGGTTTCCAACGTGCCTCCCCAGGCGTCTCCCGCTTTGACAGAGCCTCCAAAACGGTCCCATAGCCCCGATCCCCAAGACTCGAATGGCAAGCGCCCCAAGCTTAAACACGTTGATGAGATGGATCAGGACATACCGTTTGATATCAAGGCAGCCCTCGCAACTGCGCTTGGCGATTTTGAGAAACAGCACAGCCAAATCGGCAATGATAGCTCGCTCGAAAACCCATCCGGGCCCAGCTCGGCTCCTCCTCCGGCGCTCGCTGTCTCTCTGTCTGCTACAGCTACACCGATGCCAGAGAAATGCGGGGATAAACTTATGAAGGCCTCATCTAACTCAACTTATATGATCCGTTCAATGAGTCTTCCGGTGCTCGGAAACTTGGCTGTTCAGATTCTGCTCCGACTATCCCAACAACCCCGAAACGAAACATTATCACTTCTTTCTGAAACCGATGCCGAGTTTCGAAAACACTACGATTTGTTGACAGAGTCGTTCAAGTTAGCCAGAAAGGGTTTCTCCGACAGTCCTGTGCTTCTTCCAGACGAACTAGAGATCAATGATTCAGAGGACCGCGAGACGGTTCGGGTTGCAAACCTAGCTACGACGGCTATTAGTGTCTTTGGTGCAAACGATGTTGCCTGCAAGGATTTGGACGACTCTTTCTTCTCTATCTTTGTACCAGAAGATGGCGAGTTTAAAGATACCTTGGCCGACTTGCTCCTCAGCCTCAAAACTCAGGCCTTTCTGGATTCCTTGGATGAGCAAGCGACTCCTCAGCAGGTTACAGAACAACTCGACAAGTTCTTCCCAGATAACTTCGAAGACTGGCTCAAGCAACGTAACCTTGATGTCGTCACAGACACTGATGCGGACCAACTCGCCGTGAAGATCAAGGACCGCAGGGAGCTGTTGTCCACACTCGCCAACAGTGAACAGCCCAAAAGTATGTCTGGCCCCATGCCTTTTCAATGAAAGTCATGCTGACGTATAAAAGAATCTCTAGAGAGCAAGTACTCACCTGATACTTTTCCCGAAACCCTCTGTGTCTTTTTGCAAAGCCACATTGGGGTAGTCGTTGAATATGCCGAAGAATATGGGGTCAAGATCCCAATCAGTGAGGAGCCGATTGTATCGGAGTCGATCGAATCGGGCCCAATTCAAAACGGCAACAACGTCCAGGACGAGCATGCCGACTTGGCCGCCCTCTTGCAGTCCAAGATTGTCGAGAACGGCGAGCTTAAAGACTTCCATGCGGGAAACCTCCACAATGAGGCGTCCGTATCTGCTGATGACAATTTCGATCTAAGTAAACTTATCGAGCAATCTCTCCCCGACCATATCAATGGATTGAAAGACGGGCTTCTAGAACAAAACGGGCAGGGTGAATCAAGCGGGCTTTTTGACACAAAGGATCTGGCATCCCTCATTGCTGAAAAGCTAAACGATAATCTTGAGACACCAGTTCACGGACTCTCAACTGTTCCACAGAACTATGAAGATACCATGCGGGAGAATCACGGCCAAGGTAAGGCTGAACACATCATGCTGACGGGACCCCAAGGCTAATTTTTGATATGACAGTACATCCTCAGTACCATAACATCAACCAGCTACAAACACCGACATACCATCAATACCCCCCAGCATCATCTTCTAATATTGGAATGGGGACAACGGGGGAGACGCTACCTCCTAACCAATCCTGTCCCACCTCAGTTCTATACGAGAAGGCAAGACAGGCCGCTGTCGCAAAGTCATCGAGTACGACTCGCAGGGAGGGACTGCATTCGACTCGCAGACCATGGACCCCCGACGAGGAAAAGGCTCTCATGATGGGTCTGGACATGGTGAAGGGGCCTCATTGGAGTCAGATTCTGTCACTCTTTGGGGCTCATGGGTCCGTTTCGGACATTCTGAAGGATCGCACGCAGGTCCAGCTCAAGGATAAGGCAAGGAACCTCAAGTTGTTCTTTCTCAAGACAAACTCAGAGATGCCCTACTATCTACAGAGTGTTACGGGTGAACTCAAGACCAGGGCGCCCGGACAGGCTGCTCGCAAGGAGGCGGAGGAAAAGGCACGCCTGAATGCGGAGGATGAACAAGCACGGTTAGCAGGCATCATGACATTGGGTGGACTACATAACAACCACCACCCAGTTGTCGGCAGTCCCATTGCGCCCTCTCCCGCTCGTGCTCACACCGCAACTCCTGGACCAGGGACTGGTCACTTGAATGGGACGCCTACGCCCACGCCCACGCAAGGACCAACAAACCAGCCTGCGGCTCTTGCTCCAGTCCCGATCTCACCAATGGTCAAGACTGAGCCCGTGGACCACTCAGCGCATCAGGTCGGCAATCTGCCACAAATTCAGCCGGCCCCAGCTCCTCAGTCTTTGCAGCCGGCGTTGAAGCCTCAATCACAACCTCAGCCTCTACACCAGCAACAATCGCAGCCACATCTACAACAACAACAACAACACCCTCAAGCAAACGCTCAACAACACTCACAACAGCACTCGCAGCAACACTCGCAACCATTACAGCCACTTCGGCCCCAACAGCAACCTCAACAGCTAGCCCAATCCCAAATGCGCTCTCAAACTCCCCAAGCGCTGGCGCCAGATCCACAGCAACAATACCACCAACAACAACAACAACAACAACAACAACATCATCAGCCGCAAGGGCATCAGCAGCACCAACAGTTGCACCAGCAGCAGCAATTACACCCAGGTTCACAGCAACACGAGCAGACGCAACCGCAACCGCAGCCTCAGGTACAGGCACAGCCGCCGCCGCCGCCGCAGCAGCAACAGCAGCAACAGCAGCACCATGTGGCCCCGGCTCCAGCATCAACATCAACTACGACAACGGCAACACCAGCAATAGCAACTGCTCAAACCCATGTCAATGTAGCCGCTGCGGAGCCAGCAGCGGCAAGTTCAACATTGAGCAATCAAGCTACACCGAGCTTTGGGCTCCCACCCATACCTCCGAACCACCACTCAACACCAGATCAAGCTCAAGACGTAAAGCTCTTTGAGACGCTCCAGGCTGCAATTGGAGCGACTTCGCCTGCTCACGAGAGCCATCAAGCGGCAACTGTGCCGGAAACGTCTGCTGGATAGAATCCAAGCCCTGAGAGTGATGAGGACGTGGAGAAGAGTATTACACAGTTGGGGAAGCGTTTGATGTCACTACAGATGCTCGATGGATGTGAGTACATGTGGGATTGAGGAGGTTCTTTTCTTCCTTGACATGAAATTGAGATGATTCAGGGATTGTCATGATTATTATGTTCAGGCGTTTAGGTTTACAGTATGGGTGGCAGGACAGAAGTGTCGGGCGCTTTTTAGACATGCTTTGAATTCTCAGGGGGGGGCGTTAGGCCACCAGTGGGAATGCAAAAGAGATGGCGATACCACGGGGAATATATGTATGGGTTAGACAGTGTTGTCTTGTACCTTTTATAGCGGAAGGTTTTATTGTGATAGAGAAACATCAAGATGAACTTTTAATTACCTGCTCTTTCTTGTTGTCCAGTCTAAACGGTCGAGTTATGCAGGTTGAGTTCAAGTTTTATGCATGACCCCCTCTTTATGCACCACTGTCTTGGTAAACATGGTTAACGCCGAGGTTGATGCCGAGTTGGCCAAGATTACCTAGGCAGCGAATTGACTCGTGACTGGTTAATTAGTCTATAAAGCAGGGAATGTGCGGGGTTAAGCTCGGACTTCCGACTTAAATGGCTGAACGGACATGCCCAGCACAATTCCTCAGCGCTGGGAAGGAAACATCGAAGCCAGAAAAGTGCCTGTAAGAAATTTTACGAGGGGGGATTCCAGGCAACGATGGGCCTTGTTGAAAATATTCCATCCTTCCACGCTCAACATTCTTCAACTCCACCTTTTTTTTCTCTGGGACTTGCTCTGTTGCTGTGTTTTCCTCGGAACGCCACGTTTCACATCGTTTGCTCCATCGAGGGCCTACCCCGGATCTTTTGGAAGATCTATCAGATCCATCTGGGACCACCGGCCAGCCTGGGTACCCGTTCCTTGGACCCGACGGAAGTAGGCGAAGTGAAGCGAGACAGTGCAGCTCCAAAAACACTTTAGCACAGCAACCCCAACGCACGCAACGTCATTCTCCGATCTTCCGGTACCAATCCGACGACTCTTTTCCTCTTTGTTCCACTCGCCGGCAAAACACGGTCAAGCTTTGATCTTGCACTGACCCTGCTACCATCCACAACACCCACTCAAAAAGGGCTGAAGGGCTAAAGGGGCCAAGACCCACCAAAATCTCGGCCGTCTCTGGGTCCAAGTCCGAGCCGCCCCTCGTTTTTACTCTCGGACCTCCGCTGCCCTTCATCATGTCGGAGCCTAGCCGGGGCAGCGTCGAACCAAGCAGTGTTGAGCGCAGTGTCGAGCGGAGTCAGTCTCCTGCCGCCGGCAACAGGCGCGACCGGATCAGCAGCCGGGACCGAGACGAATCTCATGACCAGGACGACGACCACCATGACGGCAATGGCTCTCGCCCGCCCCCGAGAAAGAGGCAGCGTGTCCGTCTCTCGTGTCTAGAGTGCCGCAGGAGGAAACTCTCGTGTGACCGGGAGTTCCCTTGCTCTCGTTGTATGCAGTCCGGCACTCCGGAGCGTTGCGAGTACGAGACCCGGCCCGGTCTGGCACCACCAAACAAGCTCGGCCTGTCTCATTCGGCCCTGGCCGGCTTCGACTCCAGGCTGTCGCTGCCCAATGGCGGCAGCGGCGACTCGTCTTACTACCGCAAGGATGCCCGCGAGTCGGAGAGGATCCGTCGTCTCGAGTTGGAAATTGCCCAGCTAAAGAACATCGTACTCAAGCAGCACGCCTCGCTTGATGGTAGCACTGTTACAGACAACTCACCTCCTATGCAGAAGCTTCACACCGCCTCTGGAGAGGACCAAGAAATCGGGGCGCAGTATGGATATAACCAGTTTTCCGATGCTGTGAACGATGAGTCCAAGGAGGAGCTGCGATTTCTCCGTGGCAAGGAGTTCAAGACGCGGTATTTCGGCCCACACAGCGCATCCCGTGCTTTCTCAGAGGTATGTATTGGAGTCGTCACCGTGGGGAAGTAAGGTTTCCTTTTTGCTAATCTCCGTTCGTAGCTTGCCGGCCTTTGTCACTTTATGAAGGAAACATCTGAAGAGTTCTTCCGTCCGTTCACCATTCCTAACACGAAGGACCGACAACAGCGTACAGAAGAGAGAGAGATCAGGTTCCATCAAGCGGATGAGTCGCTCGAGTCTTTGCTGCCGTCCAAGGAGAGGACGGATTCCCTTGTGACCATCTACCTTGATCAATTCGAGCAGATTCATCGCATTGTTCATATCCCCACCTTCCGTAGGGACTATGATAAGTTTTGGGACCCTGCTCAAACAAGATCAGCCGCCTTCAGTGCTCTCATCCTGGCCATCTTGGGCGTTTCCAGCTGTCTCGGTTCACATTTTCCCCAAGAGTTTGACAAGATGATCAGCCGCTCACATGCTGATGCACTCAGATGGATTGATGCCGTTGATGAGTGGCAGCAAAAGCAAAGTCAAAAACATCGTCGTCTCATCCACTATCAGATCGCATGTTTGGTGTACCTCGCGAAACGCGTCAACACGGTGAAGAAAAAGCGATTCTGGAAAGGAGCTGGCGCCATGTCGATGGATGCCATCTCGGTTGGTTTGCATCTCGAGCCCAGCCATAATATTAGCCCCTTCAACCAGGAACTGAGACGCAGGATATGGGCAACCATCCAGAGCTTTGATCTGCAAGCATCATTTGACATGGGCCTACCCAGCATTCTCGGCGCTTTGCACTTCAACGTCGAACCTCCCCGTAACATTGACGATGACGAGTTCGACGAAAACAGTAAAGAACTTCCTCCTTCCAAACCACCCACCGAGTATACTTTTTCCTCCTACCAACATCTCAGCCGGCAAAGCCTCGACCTTCGTCTTGACCTTATCCGTGTCCTCAATGGTCCATGCGAGAAACTCGATTACGACCAAATAATTCGCTACACCAACGAGATCAATCAAGAGATCGACTCGTTACCCTCATGGGACGTCACCGACGCCGATGCTCCCACGGGCGTGTTGAAGAAACCTCTTCTCGCCTACACTCTCCTGCACATCCAGCTTCGACAGTTCATCATCAAGCTCCATCATCCTTATCTGAAGCTTCGCAAAGACAACTCGAAATATCAATACTCCGAGATAATTTACTACAACGCTGCGCGCGACATGGTCCTTCTCAACGACAAGCTCGCTCAGCAAGGCATCCGCACCCTCAACTACCTCCGCGAAGACTGTCTTACGCTAGCCATCAACCTCTGCAGCGTCACCATGCTGCAGCCCCGCGGCTCCACCAACATGATCATGATCAACTCACAGCACACGCTGCAGCTTCTGGAGAAGTGCCTGGCAATAAAGGAGGACCGTATACTCCGATGCGGCAACAACGAACCGTGGGGGTACTCGATTATGTGCGCAGCGGTTGGATTGCTGGAGGCACACCTGGGGGTCAAAACAACAGAGCAAGCAAAGGCGACGAGCGCTGAGAGGTTTATCAAACTGCACTGCAAACTCGTGCCGATGACCTCTGGAGGAGCGGGTGGGTCGAACGACAGTCAGCCGAGCAGTAGTCAGGAACGTGGACATCAGTGTGGTGCTGAGAAGCAGGAAGACGCAGAGAGGCCACCACAGCAGCCTGGACTGGCTGGGGATAGGGAGTCTGCGACGCCTGTTAATGGTCAGCCTGCTGATGTCTCTGGTGTTGGGAATAACAAAGTAGCGCCAAATGGGCTAGCGACGCCTTCCAATTCGCAGTTTCTAAATGGGATAGCGGCGGATTATATGGCTCGGTTAAGAGTATGTTCTTGTTCTCCTTCCTCGCACACAAGAAACAAGACTAACCGTTCAATGTTTTATCAGCCCCCAACGCCCTTTCTTCACCCTGGAAACACACAACAGCAGCCACAACAAGCACCCATGCCACCAGTCACGCTCGGCCCGGCGGTAGACATCCCCGGCACACCGTGGAGTGTAGTTCCCGGTGTTGGTCTCACAGGTGCTGGAGGCGAATGGTCTAACGCTGGTGGTTTTCAGTTTGTGAGTATCCCTTTCCCTGCCTATCGTACATAATATGTTTTTCTTGTTTCCCTCGTCTTCAATTTTCATGGTATGCGCGCAACATGCTAACCACATATAACTCAAAACAGCCCAATACCATGAATTCCGAATTCGACATGACCCAGTTAGGTGCTAGCATGGGCGAACTTTGGCCGTCTGACTTGTGGGATTTGATTTAGTGCCCATGGGACCAGTCTTCGGGAACGACGAGATGCGGCAACAATTAAGAGAGAAGGGACCGAGCGATCGATTACGATTAACAAGCGAAGGAAACGAGCAACAACCAAACGATTACCGTGGGGGGCTTCGGTGGACAAGCCAGGATACACAGGCATATACACATAAACATGCCTTGGGTTAAAGAGAAGGGAGCATCACTTGAAGAACAAGAATAAGCGCAATGACCCATGGAAAAAAAAGAAACGCACGAAAGGAATGTGAAGACAAAATTGGGGTTGGACAGCGCAAAGGCGAGCCAAGAGGAAAAAGACGGAGGGGGAAGAAAAGATATACTAGAAAGAATGGTTCACACGAAAGGATCAAGGAAAGCAAACTTTAGGATAATGTATACTTTGGAATACTTGTTGATGACAAGGATGGGTGGGATGCGAGCGTTGAGGTGCGTTGTCGCCTGGCTTGTGGTATATAGTAGAGGTAGATACCGATCGACAGGCACAGCGATGGAAAGCAACATTACTTGATGGACGAGGAGAACAATGGAATAACTGGTGTAGGTCGGTTGCATCATGATGTCATGTCTATGATGGTCCTATAGATGCAGTTCCTTGGGGTTTATGATTTGGAAGAAGCAATAACAAAACAGATCTTCCTGCAACTAACTCCTTGATAACCTATACAATATCTGAACACGGGCTTAACGAAACACGACTCAAAAGGCGGCAACGGAACATGTAAAAGCAAGGAAAGAAAGAAAAGAGAAAAAATACAATGGAAGGGCGAACAAAGAGATGATGAGATTTAGGTTGGGGAACAATGAAAAAAAAAAAAAAAGAAAAAGCACTAAAAAGAAAAATATTGGCTGGTCTCTCCCGCCGGGAATTGAACCCGGGTCTCGAGCGAATCGAACTGATTTGATGTTCAAAGCTTGACAAGCTCACATACTGACCACTATACTACGGAAGACTTTACAGTTGTGAGGCAACTGTCGTAGTTTGGTTTGCTGGAAAGCAGCTTGGAACCATGCCTTTATATAGGCGGGACTCGGTGAGAGTGGGAATACGACCTACTTGCGGAATGGCATTCGCGAAAGACATTCGCAGATTTTGCGCACTTTAAATCAATTTTTTAACCTTACAATTTGATAACTCTCTTTGGCAAGAATTGGGGTTTATGAAAGTGGGGATATTTGCAAGTTATGGCTTTGTAGTATAGTTGTGGTTGTGGTTGTGACGAAGTTTGAACTGAATGCAGCAGCAGCAGCAGCAGTCTGCGATGCGCGGTACGTGATGCGTGGAAGTGCTTAAGTGCAGATGACTGGAATAACGCAATAAGGTCACGTCACCTCACCTCTTATGCCTCTTGATCTTTCTTTCTAGCCTGGGAACTTTTCGTCTTCTGCGTCCGTGTAATCGGTCTAGCAAAAAGAACAAACGATCCATCTTTGAGCATGCATGCACTTGTGATGACAGTTCTAGTCTAGGTCTCTAGGAGCTCGTTACTCAAAAGAGAGCATGCGCCGTTTTCTTATGTGCCTGCTACCTGCGAGCTTCTTTCCTATTATTTGTAAACGTTTGACGGTCGGCTATCGAACATTGAGTGTGAATCATATATTCCGGGATTAATATTGTCTTGGGTGCAAGTACTTGTGGGATCTCCGTCTATCAATACCTCCCTTCTCTTTGAACATTTACTTCTACGTGGTCGGAACCGAGGTACGGATTGTTTGACGTCCGAATACTGGATCATCATTTTAACGTGTACCTTCAAGAATCTAGATCCCATCTTGTCCAATCCTCTTTAGCTAAAAGATAAAGATTTTACGCGTGAGTTCTTCTAAAAAAGCTTAGCCCACTCGAGCCTGCACTACTATTCAAGAAAATTTCGCAAAGTCAAGGAACACTTGATGCCCAACTTCCATCCATTGTGCCTTCATGCATGCAAGGCGAGAGAGATATTGGTGTCTTGCAAATGCTGATTCAAAAGCAGAAAAATGCAGACATCGAGAACAATACTTGAAAATTGTCGGACAGCTTTGGTGGAGCCTTTTTGTCGAGACTTACAAGCATCACTTGGAAGACAACAGTTGCTGCCGCTCTACGAGTTTGCTCTTGATATGGCCGCGTGCCATGCAAGAAACAAAGGCCTCACTCACTTAACAAGAAAAAGAAAAAAAACAGAAAAAGGAACCAAAGGAGCAGGTAACTCTTGCGCAGCGAATAAAAAAGAGATGAGATCTTGGACGAGCTGGGAATCGAACCCAGGACCTTTCGCATACAGGTGAGTATGCTAAGCGAACGCTCTACCAACTGAGCCACACGCCCGAATGATGAAGATTATGATGACCTCCTACATCTTATCAATGACAGCTGTTCCATTGTCTTGGTATTGCATCTCTTCATGCACTTCCTTGATCTTCTCTTGACGACGTCTATTCTGCCTTATACCTCCATCCATAGATCAAGTACCCACTCCTTGGTCCCTCAGAAGAGGCCTCAGTCTTGAACTAAATCAAGATCAACTCAAATCGGATCATCAGCCTCCGTTCGGACCGGCATAGTCTCCAGCCTCTGGAGCTCTGTTCAATCTCCAGTACGGCGTTTCCCCCCCCTCAAACAGGCCTAGGTAGAAAGCCGATACGTAGAGACTTTGCAACCGGTCGTCGATAGTGACTGACCCAATCGGACTGGACCCATTTGTCCCTTTAGTTGATGCCGGGGCTTAAGTATCGGAATCCCAACGTCCGGTGTTGTCAGGGATTTAAATCAAATCCCAAACATCCGGCTGTTTCGTCTTTTTAGGTTGTGGCTATGGCTGGCTCTAGCCATTTCTTTCTTTCTTTTTTTTCTGTGGAAAAAGGTAGGCAAGTCCAGCTCGAGATGGATCAACGTGCTTGAGCTGTTGTTAAGAGGAGATCTCATCATGCCCAAAGAGGATGAGATATGAGACTTCCGCACGTACGGATGGCGAGTGTGAAGGAAAAGAGAAGGTCGTCCCAAACAATCGGAGCCTTATCCGTCGAGACCGCCTTGGCTATGGTCCTGGCAACTTGCTTTTCTACAGAGCCGGGGCCATGGCAGGCTTGAGCTAGACCTAGACCGGCCGGTGGCGGCGGGCGGAACAGACAGACATTTTAGGCGGGTGCGGGTGGACGGGAAGGTGGAAGGCCTGGCCCGACGTGCTGTTGTTGGTGCTGGGATTTGTGTATCTGACAGCTCGCAATTATCATCCTTGCTGCTTAGAGCGGAACTGACAGCTATGAAACAAGGGCGTACGATGAAAACATCCCGACGGTGCACTGGGACTGTGTGGTATGTGAGATACTGGACAGTCGGTGTATGATCACGGAAGGAGGACGGGAAATGAAGTTTCTCCGACGGTTCAATGCCAGGTCATGACAGTAAGAAGTGCGATGATAGCATTGTGGATATGAGAAGGTAGGATTGGGTTGAAGAGAGGTTGACAGAGGCGGTTTCTGGTCAGGGACACCCGACTGCTTGGATAAAGGTTTGAATTAGGGTGAAACAATGCAGATCAACGATGGAAAAAGGCCTGAAGAAGGGTAGCAAAAATGACGTAACTAGCGTAGAAAACCAAATAGGGTGTTGATCCTCAACTGTGCATCGCTGACTGATTCCGGTTCTCTGATTTGCCTCGAAAGAATAGCATAATAACATCATTGTTGATGGAGTACAGATGTCCTTGTCCCAGCTTTACCTCAGGGACGACGTCGACGTCTTCGTTTTGAACGGATGACAGACTCCCGGAATCCACACAGTACCTAGCAGCGCGTGCAGCCCAGCACCAAGCGAATGCGACCACGGTCTTCGGCAAAATACACGTGCCAATAAACCGACAGTAGCGCGTCCTTTTGATGCGACCTTGACGTTTTCCTGCTGAGTTGTCCAATTAGCCCTCGTTCAATACGGTCCTGACAGCCTGTCTCACCTGTGGCGTGCAGGCTGTCACAACGTGGTCCATTGGAGAAGGGACCCTGGTTCGGTGTGCCTGGTTCCTGGATTCTCCCCACATCCCGAAAGGCTAGGAAAGCCATCGGGATCTGTCAAGTTGCCGTGTGGGATAAATGGAATTGGAATTGGAATTGGATTTGTATTTTTGGGTTGTGGAGTTGGGAATGATGGACTTTCACCTCCAGCATCATCCAGGATGAGATGTCCGGACGAATTTAGGCGGTGGTGGCCATCGGGAGAAAAATTCGAATATCCACTTGGTGAAGCATCTAGTGCTTCTAGTGCTGTTTTCAAGTCCATTCTCGCGGGTTTTCAATGCCATCAAAAAGTCCGAGAGACGGGAATCTCTTCGTTCTGGCGGCTACCTACACAGTATCAATATACCATCATGTCGATCGTAGAACTGAAAAGATCTTGACCGAACAGGGGACTCACTGAAAGCATTAGTGTAGTTCCTGTCTACTGACAATTTTCAGCTTTCCGACACTGCCCTTGCCGAAGTCAGAAAAGAGTGAGCAACACAAAAAGGGTCGGCCCGCGACAAGACGGATAACGAAAAAAAAGAGGAATGTTCGTGGTGGTTGCCTCTAAGGTAGATTGCTCATGCGAACTTTTTACCGGCTCACCTTGCTTCCGCTAGGCTTGAAAGTACATAGTGTAACTGGTTGCAACCATGAGATATGTAAAGTACACGACAAGAGAAGGCTGACTTGACGGCGCTGCCAGTTTTTCATGCAAGGCGCACACTATCCTCAGGGTCCATCCACCCTTACACAATCTTCAGACTGTCAACGGGGAAGAAGCGCAAAGCAGGTCAATGACCCGAACTGACGGATATCCCTCCTATCCAGTCAGAACCGGGCATTTTATCAGCATGTCTTGGGTTCGCCCTGTTGGGCGCTTGCGGCCTGCAGAGGTGGAGCTTGTGGCGACTTCCTGTTCGAGGTTCGGTGATCAGAAGGGTAACGAGTGGTTCTGAATGAATGACCATGGAAGGCTTGGAGCTGTTGGGGCCTTGTGAAAACTCCTTGCGCCGCTCTAGATCGACGGAACTTCTGCCAGATACCGCGTGGCTTGCTGGTCAGGATGTTCCAGACCGGCTTCTCGTGGTGCCGAACTCCGAGTTGAGAGACACACCGATGTGGAGCTCTAGACCATCTCCTTCCACTTCGCTTTGTGAAGGTTTATCTCCTCTACGTATTCGGTCGGGAAGGCCTCAGATCGCGGGGAGGGTCTTCAAGCAGGAATACCTCTAGTTGCAGGGGCAAGATGATGCGAATACGTATGAGACCCACAGTGCTAGGACGCTCCTACCTTCCGAAAGTTTTCGGGGCTCGAGTCTAGTGCGATTACTTAGCTGCGCTGTCAGGTACCTAGATTAAGCGGAAGGGAAAGAGGAAAGAAGACTTTTGACTTTGCAGGAGCGAATGAAGTGATTTTGCAGGAGCGAATGAAGTGATTGATGGCTGCAAGGAAGAAACTCTGTAGAGACACTTACCCACATCTCGCCCAGCAGGATTTAGCGGAATGGATTTAATCTTCTCCTGCAATATTCTGCGATTTAGGGGCTCTGCGGCAGATGAGTCGTGGGAGCCTGGTTACTCACTCCGTTGACAACTCTGTTCTGGTCGAGTGTCGTCTAGAGAGTTGCAGACCGCCTCATCTGCCTCGCGAACTCTGCGCAGAATCGTATGCCGAACGGTGCAGTAGTAGCATATGTAGGAACGGTTATGCAGAAACAGTACCACTCAGCTGAAGACTTTTTTCTCTTTTCTCTTCATCTCTTCTCATCGTGTTGCTTTCTGCCGCTCCAATGCGAATTCTTTTTTTGTCAGCCATTTCCAGCTTATGCAATAACATGGTCCGTATTTGCGTGTTCCACGTTCAAGGAGTGCGCCCCCTTATAACTGTCATTGAGAAACATTTCTAGATGTTGATGATATCCAAGTGTTGAACTTGGGCCAAGGCCTTTCGTAGCCAACAGCGCAGCAATAATGCACTATATGCATAAGAGCGGTCAGACAAGGTGTTGCCATTCATGACAGCAGAAGAAGATATTGGAACCTCAAATCGGTTTGGTATTCAACAAGCTGTACATACTTGTTTGTCCACAGCTTGGATACCATTCCGAGACATTCAATCAGATACCTCTATTTAAAACAAATTCGTGGTTGTTTCGTCGTGATGAGACATATCTTTGCGTACAATCTGTCAGGCACGAGGTCGTAGTGGTCTCCGACTTCTCGCCCCGTGTCCCAGGTACGTTTTCTGTAAATAGAGGTTGTTGTCTGCACTCAGTGCACCATGTAGCATGTGTAAGTAGTCACGGTAGTGCACTGTGATTGCTGCGTGGAAGGAGTTGAAGATTGTAACGCCAACCGGTGCGCAATGTGACCTCATGGGTTGTATCGTCTTACCGTTGAGTTTTCTCAGGTTAAGCAATAAGCAAAAAGCAATGTAGTATGCCATTGACCAATCATGCAATGATCCAAGCCAAGATGCCTTTCTTAGTGGGCGTTGGATCTAGGTCGTACTCGTCCTCAACATAGACAAAGCTGCAGGTTAGGTAGCCATCAGACGAGGGTTCGTGGATGTGTTACAAATGAACGCTTGGTCAATGTGCCGCAAGGAACGAAGAAGGTGACCGTTCCCCGGTAACATCAATGTGCCAACCTTGAATACTGTATGTATTCATCCCGAAGCCCGTACCTTGTTGATCTGTTGTTGAGTCGAGTTGTATACACTACTACATGCCGAATCTAGTCGGTGGCCCGGGCCGGTGGTTCCAGCGGATGACGCCACATCCCATTACGACGGGACTCGTATGCTAGCTAATCACGTTGCATACCAACAGTTTGTTCGTATGGGTATACAGTATGACGGCGCATTCCACATATATTTAGACAGACGATGGTTATGCCAGACGACCACAAACAATTTGAGCTTTCGTATAAGCATCGTCATATCCATCCTTTGCTTAGGCAAAACAAGAGATTTTGGTCTGCGTTTTTCAAAGTGCTGGTCTGAACATAGAGGATACATACTCACATATAGTATCAACACGTATATGACGTGTCGGTACGTGTCCGGCTGTGTGCTTGCTTTGCATCACATTGCAGACTGGCCGAACAAGGCATGATCACGAACAGGCAGAAGATGCTGTCGAGATGGCCAAGGCGTTTCAGCGCAGTTTCAAGCCATCCGTACCTGCCCTCTATCGAACTGAGAGCTACCCTTGTTTATCACAATACGACACCATATCAAACAGGCGGGGGTAAACTCAGTTGGGAACTTTCCCCTGCAGCCCCTCAGCTGCTGTTAGTCAAGAAACCGTTGAAGACCTCACCAAACCCCAACAAGTTAGGGCGTGTTCGGCGACTTTTGTAAATGGACTTTTGGAAATGATTTTGGGATGTTGTCCGTATCATGTACATACCTATACACTACACTACTGCCAGATAAACGGCTCTTGGTAACTAAATTACCCATGTCCGATTTCCGGAGCTTTTGAGGCGTGGAAGTGTGTTTTTCCGACATGGTGGTGAATGCTTCTTGACGCCTTTGCAGTTTGCACCTCTCAACTTCCCAAATTATGTCCGAGTCCGGATTTTCGGAGACGCCGAACTCGGCCCTAAGCTGATCATCAACGCTAAAAGAAGATCCAGAAAAAAGAAGGTGGTTGGAATGATGGTCGCTTTCGAGAACAGAACGATATCCACGCTAGAACAATTCCACCGAAGAGGATCCGACACCAAGTTTCGAGCTTAGCCTTATTGAAGGCCACTCGGTGCAGTGGATGATGGACTCGCTTCTAGCCTGGATATCTTCAGATGAACGGGGCGGCTGCGTGAGGACAGCTTGATGCAGTTGTTTCGGCTTCATAACGAAAAACAGCAAGGTGCCGTGGATAGAGGTAGCAAGGTGGACAGCAAGGTGGAGAGAAGAGGTATGCAGGAGCGGCCGTGGGTTGAGGGAGAAGAAGTCATGAGTAATGAGGTGCAGAAAGTGTGTGCAGATTGTGGAACAGCTTCAAGCTCACCTTGATATCTGTAGTGGTAGGATATTCCCGGGCCCAGATGATATTCCCGGAGGGTGGTTCTGGATGCTGAAGCCCGGGCTGCGAGGTAGCTTGACCGGCGTCGCCGTGATGCGTACCCGCACGGGGAGTGAACGAATGCCCACTGGGTGGATGAGCGAAAAAGGCGTTCATCAGGACCCATTTCTCGTCCACTGCGGAGGCTGCCTCTCTTGCAACCTACGGATCCTAGGGAATAAGCGGCCGTAAAGATGATTGTATCTCCAGATCGCGCGGCAGGTTGTTTGGTGGGATATTGAGAAACGAGGATGACAAGAGGGTTGACAGTGGAATTTGGAATGGGTAAGGGAAGGTGTCCACAGCGATAAGGCGGGATGCGTTGATTTTCGTCCTCCACATCTAGCATCGAGATGGTTGTCTGGTGGTTAGGTTATGTGTAGCGTCCCGGGTAGATTCTATGATGGTGGGGACGTAGAATTGGCTCTGCACTACAAAACAGGGGCATTTAACCCCGACTTGTAACTTGTAAGCACTTGCTGACTGTGGACCCACCTGCCGCCTACTCCTGCGTAAAGCCCGAGCACTTGCATTCTTTTTGTGGGGAGAAGAAGAGGGCCAGCCAACCCCAGCTACAGTAGAAGCCCCTGGAAGTGCAAACAATTAGGGCTGCCAGAATTCTTTTGCATTTGTGGGGTATTTGCACTTTAGGGAGGTTGCATTTTACAGCACACTAAAAACTCCTGCAGTTGCAGCCCCCGCTGATGCTAGAACCCCACTTAATTTACCACTAGTTGAGTGCCAGATTCATAGAGGCATAGTCCTGAGACTGCTAACTGTTAGTTGCAAAGACAACCACTCGTTTCTTGCATTAGCATGGGTCAAGTTTTTATAGAGTAATTACTTGGAACCCCATACTGGGATTCAGAGACCCCCTCATTTACGCAGTGTCTTTCGGTGGTCTTTTGGTGGCCCAGACACCTACTTACAATGCGGTCTGTGCGCTGGATTCCCCTCCTGCAAACACCTTATCCATTGCAAGAAATATCGGTCCTAAAACTGCATTGCAACTGCAGGGGTTTTTGCTGTATTTCTCTCTCACTAAGTCTCCCTTCCACCGACAACCAATCAACGCAACTCTACTTACCTAGGTACCTACACTAGCTATGGCACTTTGTGGACTTTCTTTACCCAGACTTCCAAAGCAACCAATTTTTTTTCCGTTTAGGACCCCTCACGAAGGAGAAAAATACCTAGACAGAGAGCCTACCGCTTTGCTCGACGATAGGAGCGGCAAATGTACCGTGACACAAGCCGTAATGTACCCGCTCAAGCTATCTCGCCGATACGTCTTTTTCAATGGCCGATAAGTGACGAGAAGTGATCTTCGGTCCCGTCGCACAGTCAGCACCTAAAAGTTTAAATCGACCACCCTTATTCAGTTGACCATACCGTGATGAAGTATCAGTGCCCGGTTCCAGTGTTTGAGAAGCGGCACTTGGATTTCGTCAATCCGAATTGGGGTGCAGCATTCTTCCTTTGAGACAACAACTCCCCGCGCGCAATCCCAAAGAGGGGCAATTACTGACTGCATCACAATGTAGAGGTATGCTCTAGTGCTACTACCTCTACGTCCCTGCCCGCCTGATCAGGAAGGTCTGCCTCATCGACTCCCACACTTTGCATCATCATCTCTGCATCGCATGCGACTAGCTTCCCGCTGCTCCAAGCACTCTCGAAGCGAGAATCCTCTTCAAGAACCTCGGAAATACCGGCACACCGGCACCGGCTCCACCACACTATGTACCGGTCTACGCACAACCCTACCTAATGCGCACAAACAGACATCAGCATATTATCGTAGGTACTTGCAGATCGAAGAGGAGCAGGGCTGCTCAGGGTTGTGAGCCGGAGACATCTTACTCCGCGAAACCTTGATACATTGGGGACTTGCGGGTACACAGACACTGCAGATCGGGGGGATGTGAAGAAGTTTCAGGTTTGTTTTTCTTTTCTTTTTTTCTCTTCCGAGGCAAAGTCAGATCGCGAGAGATCACGCCAACGTTTGATGAATGGAGGCATACCGACTCACATGGCTATCCTCGATGCCGGCCAGCAACCCAACTTGAAGTCACACTGGATATAGCTTCAAAGAGAAGGGTACTCGTTGTCACACCGCCTCGAATCTTAAGAACCAATATACAACAAGCGACATGCAAATTTGACCGAGTCTGGTGAATAACCCGGCACTATGAGCCGCGTCTGCATCAAGACGGCCAGACGTTTCTAGCCCAGGCGAGTAAGCTTCATCCGCTGCCCCCGCTTGGTCAGCGGTTCATCACTGCGCTTAGCTGGGTGCGAGATGAAGAGACACGGCGGTTGCCATCAATCCTTGAACCAAGTCCAAAAACCTCCTGCTCAAATTGGCCGAGATAATTGTCTTGCCACCAGAATGGGCAGGTATATTCCATGTACCTCGAAGATTATCACAGACAGCCGGCGTGTCTCCCGCCCAGCTGCGACTTCCCGACGGACATCTTTCCATCTCCTGCCATTGGTCCATTCGGCTCCGTGGCTCGTTCGGCATCCGGTTCCATGTGCCTTACCGGGCTTCCGTGGAGTCGTCCGTGGATCCGTCCGTGCGTGCAAATACGGGGAAGACAGGGTCTTCATTTTGACAGTCATACAATCTAACCCTGGTTTGTGTTTCTTAGTTTGGTACCGAAAAAAAGCCCATTTCTACTTTAGAGCCACCAAATGTAGGAAAAGCGTTCGATTTTGAAGAGACGGGTACTGAAAGGGGACCACCCTCTCGTATCTTCCAGTTTTGGGGGTCCTGAAGGAGACCGAGAGAGGCATAAGTAGGTTTCTGCAGCGTTTTCCACTCTAGCTATTGTCCTATGACGCTTCGAACGGAGGCCAGATTCTCTCTTTGGAGGCCAATGAGAGCTCCAGATTTCCCCTGTTCGACCTATGACCGAAGAACCAAACTAACAAACAAACCAGCATTCCCTTGAACTGTAGGTGCCCCACCTACTATGGTCCGATGTCATCTTTTGCCGACCCGTCTTCGTAGATGAGTAGCGTATGTCTTGAGAGATGGAAGCGAGATCAAATGACATGATTGACGCCGAGAGTTGTCGGTAGTGGATAACATCCCACTTGACTATAGTACCTATTCCCGCACCACTGCGGTCACTTTCGCAACAGCGTACCAAGATTGTCGGCAATGAAAACAACATTGCCGGCCTACCTATGCTACGTGATAGGTCCGATGCGAGCTTCGTGCTTTGACATTCGAGCTAAAGTTAAAGAAACACGAAGTTTATGGCAGATCATCAACGACGGAGGTTGCGAGACAAGGCTTCATTCTGGCGCAATCCGTCTCTATGTGTAGTGTAGTGTCGTCACGGGGCGCTGTAGTTCAATGCTTGAAAGTTTGTTAGCGTTAACACTTGCCACCTCTTTTTGGCAGGGGAGAGGATAAGGAGATTCGGCGTTCCTATTGGTTTAAACCTAAACCACCTTAAAACCAAGATCAGCAAGCGAACATGTCTCACATACAAACGATGCTAGAACATGACTCGATTTACAGCTTGGCGATGACAGACTAGTATGGTAAACGCTGTTATGCTAGGACTCTCGCAAAACCCACCTGAAAGTAGTAAAAGAGCACTCGGTAAGTACCGCGCTAACGGAACTTTTAGGAGAGTGAACTGCATCACATGGAAAAGGGGAGTCCACCCTTTCAATCCCTTTCTGGTATTATGTCCGCTTCGAAGAGAAAAACAGAAAAAGAAAAGAAAGACATACTGTACTGTCTCTTGCATGTTTCAATTTTCAAAGGAATTGCCGTTCGTGCCGACACCCTTCGGCAGACTCCCGAGACACTCGCAAGCCGAACTCCGGCCGAGATTTCGAAAAAGGTGATATTGAGACTCCGTCACGACGTCAACAGCTGGTACTGAAACCACCACGCAAGCTCTACACTGCTGCGACACATACATTCAGCACTCTATAAACAAGGTACCCTGTGCGTATATATGCCCGTCGCTCAGCATATAGTGTCGCATCGTATTATTGCAAACAAAAAAAACAGCGCGAGGGGCAAATTGATAAAATGGTGCTTGATATAGATATCAAGACAGCAGTTAAGATCTATTACGGAAGTCGTGAGACTACCGTAGCACTCCAATACCGTTCAGTTAGGAGACATGGCAAATGCGGAAGGTCGTTCGTTAGAAGGCAGGTATATCAGGTCAAGTGCGGCTTAGCCATTCACTCCCCGGAGATGATGAACGCTCTTTGCGGAGTTTCTTTTGACGAAGAAGCGCCGCGATCGTGCAAAAGTATTCATATCGCGAGGAGATAAGCATTGTGATTTCCGCCCGGCGACTCGCATACGACATGCCAGATTGTGCGACGTGGAGACGGACAAAGGTCAGGAATACAAGCGGGCCGCTGACGGAGCGGGAAGATTACCGCTGACAGTGCGGGATTGGTTGGTTGGCTGGTTTTTTTTTTTTTTTTTTTTTTTTTTTTGTCTTTCGCCTCCGTCCAGTCGAGGCACGGCTCAACAACTGAAGCTATTGCCCCAAAAAGGTCGCCAAATTCACACAGTCTCTTATAACGTCAGGGATCATTGTCTCCCATGGCAATAGATGTCAGGTCGCATCTGAACGAAGCGAGAAACGAACAGAGGAGGTGGCAGTGAACAGCTTAAGCAAGAGGTGATGTCGCCGTTGGCGTGGAAGGAACATTTGGTTACAGTAAAACCCTATCGCCCTTGCGATATTAGCAGGCTCCTTGGTTTTAAGATCAGGCCCCCTTGCACACCGGTCGGTCTCATAGGCTCGACTCCCTTCTACAATTGGCTTGGCCATGCAGTCTGATTCCCGTTTAGGAAAGGGTGAGTGTGGAGCGGAAAGGTGCAGTGGGACCCCTCCATTCCAGGTCGCGGGCTTCGCTTCGAAGGGACCTCTTGCACTTTCTGTGTGGGTGGCTTCAGGTCTGGCCCAGTCGCAGGGCAGGCACCTCGGGGTTCTCGGGGCACTCCTTCTGTCTGTCATTCAGTGTCTCTTACCTCTAGGTACCTTACCTAGGTACCTCTATACCCAACACCTTTGTTTTTATCTTTTCAAGCTGCATCATCAAATCTCCCGTCCTTGCGGGGTGTCTGGCATCGACATATCGTCATGTCTTGCCACGGCAGTATGTACACAGTTGTTTGCTTCTGTTCAAGACTCCCAAGGCGGGTGTTCCTGACAGTGGACGTTCGGCGGGAGTGCCGTAGTGTACCTTCCATTCCTGTGGATGCCATGTCAATCCGCCATCCACCCACTTTCCGTTCTTGCAGCAACTCAGCTGTCAGACAGGAGGTTCCACTACTGTCAGCTTCTCACAGCCAGTGAAATGGGTCAATGGCATGCGGAGGGGTCCACTTGGCCTTCTCCCGGTCCCCTCGTCAACTTCGTCAGTCTCCTCAATCGGAGCTATCGTCTAGCGCAATCCTCCGCGTTTCAATCAACATCCATTCCTCCAAGCTTCACCAACTCGAGCGACAGACCCAGCTTCTATTGCATCACATGGTATCCAGCCAGCTGATATGCTTCGCATAGTCGAGCCATGGGTCCCCTCCCCTGAGGACACAGCCGACCGACCAGGTTAGGGTTGGTACACAAAGCACTTCCACTTACACTAAAAAGTAGACAGGAAAAAGCAAAGTGAGCGGGCACTGTGGCTGCAAGCCAGAGATATTCCCCAGGGCATGGCATCTCATCGCATCGATGGAGGCTATACCTTTAGCCAGGCCCTTCTTCCCAGGGCAACCCGACTCTTGAGGATCACTTCTCCCCGGAGATTGCAAAGTGGACACATCCAGATATCAACATGCCGCCACGCCAGCATTATCCAAGAAGTTCACCTAACCCTAGTGTACCATCAAGTCATTGCTTCATCCCTGGCTCTCGCTTCATTGTCTCGGTGGTTCGTCGGTTGCCTTTAGCTTCCGCCCAAGATTACCCAAGCAAGGGGCCTGGGTCCTAGTAGGTTAGGTTTGCCAGTATGTCTCCAGACTCTTATGCCAGATTCGTACTTTGCACTTACAGTTCGCATAGGATCCTTACCTACATACTATTGCAGTACCTGCTATATCCGCAGCTCGTGGGCTTCTGCCACACCCACTGCAACTCACTCACCCCTACCGATACCCCTGGCGGACCTTGTTCGGTAGTCGGCCCATGCACTACCCCCCTTGCCTTTGGCCGCTGCGGGAGACTGGCCCAAATGGTGCATAGTTGTGAGAAAAAAATGGTTATACCAAAAAGGGGACAGGCGAGACAATGGACATCTGCATCCCGGTGCCAGACCAGACCCTCCTCGCCCAGGGTTGCTTGTTGCTGCAACATTGTCTCCGTACCCGTTACAGGCACCGTAGCCTTTTTGACTCCCCCCCCTTTGATCCAGCAACGCTTCACATAAAGGGTCTCGTGGTGCCTTCTACCCAACGAGGTGCCAGCTCGATCCGACTAGAGTGACCACCAACTTGTGCATATAGGCCCATAACTGCAAGCCAACGCACCAACATTCGCTCACTACTTACGAACCTTTATGCGCCTGCCTTACAGACAGTTTATCCACCACGTATATGCCAGACGCGCCGACCCGCATGACAGCTGCGCTGCTTACATCAACAAAACCCACTGAAAGATCGGATATCAGACATCTGCGTTAATCGAGTAACGTGTGGCTTAGACGAGTTTGGCGACAAGGGGTTGACAACCATCTTGAACAACCTTGGGAAGCAGCTAGTGCACACACACCACTTCACGATTACTAAACGGCAGCCTCAAACGAGATCGAAAGCGAAGAGGAAACACATACTTCAGCACACGACTACGAACTCGGAAACTTGCTCGTTGCTTTACAAAGAAGGAACGAATCTCCTGATATTCCTGTAGTCCTGAAGGGCTCGTTCGGTAGCAGGAATCACAATTGGGGGTGAGTTGGAACGCTCAGAGGCTTGAAGATTTACACCATTGGCATGCCAGTGTGCGCCTTGACTCCCGTGTTTAGTGTCAGGCCATGATGGATCATAGGTCCGGCTGAGTTGATCGTTTGTAGTTTGTCCACTAACCTAGTACTTTATCTTAGCTCTTGTGGGTCACCGCCTGTGGACGTATCTCCACGGAAACCTTTTTGGACGACTTCGTGTCCAGGGCACGGCCTTGTCAACGAGCATTTTGGTGAGTGAACGCGATTCAGTTACGTTTCCTCAGTGGCTCTCCTTCCCACCATTTCCCCTCTGTTTCAAAAAGACACCAAACTCAACGGTGTCCTTCTGATCTACTGCATCATGCAGCCTTGGGGCCATGTCGTCATTCTGATCTCGGGCGGAGGATCTTAGTCGACACGGACCCCCAGGCTGGCATCGGAATGTCGGACGTGCTGTGGCCGACTGGATGACCTCTCTCAAGTGTTGTTGATGCGTATCTATTTTGATATCTTCAGTACCTTCGTCTCATCGTTGGAGTGTCTACGTATGGCACGCGGTGTTGTAGTAGAAGGCTCGGTATTCTCTTCCCCACGTCAAAGCTCCGGGAGGTAGTTTGCCTTCCATCCACGACATTTATCATCACGCGTGGAGCTCGTCCGGAAACCGAATGACTCGACCTTCATCTTCTCTGAGTCTGCTGTTCCGTCTTTCTAATCCGTTGTTTATGTCCTTAGGTTGTTGGTTCAATTTGAATTGCGGTACCTATACGTCGTGATTTCAGGTCGTATATTTCATTCGCTCAAGAGAAACACGAGAAGAACTTGCCGAAGGAGCGGACAATAACGACACTGGCGTTGGATTCATCTTCACGCCCAGCAAGTTAAATATTTCGGCACACACGGCCTTTTGCTCAGATCACATTCCTTCTCTTCACACCGAGCCAGGCCTCAGACGGTTTTGGCCACTCGCCATAACCACGCACTTGTGGCTCGCCCACCGGAGCAGAGCGCCGCCGCACACGCAACATAGCAGACAGCTCCAGGCTATCCGGAATTTCGGTGTCCAGCTCCCTATCTTTCATCACATCACTCTCTTTACCATCCAGGTATATCCCTTCACACCTTCTCCCCCGCTCTTTACCTCCTACAGCCAGATACTCTTCCGGTCCATAGCAGGAGGCGAATCCATCCACGAGGACAACCACCTTATAAGAACAAGTTCCAAGGTGCACGACCATCGTCCGCCCGCAAAACTTTGTGCTTTGATCTTTCCGTCCAGGAGCACCAACGACCAAAGGAGCAACGACCCGAAGCGCAAAGGCAGTTTCACGTTTGTTGTATGGAACTCTTTCAAATCATGGCTGAAGACCCAGAGAGGCCTCGTCCATTTTTGTGTGACTGGCAGGGTTGCGGCAAGGTTAGTTACTGAGTACCCCCTTCTGAAGCTTCTTTGCACAGGCTGTCCATCCCTTCGTTTGCTTGTTCGTCCGTTGGTTGCTCGAGACCATGGCTCGGGATAGCTTCTTGGATATCATTCTGTATCGGCGCCTCTGGTACCGCACTGCAGCAACGCCAGACATTGTTGGAAAAGGCTTCATCGTGAATTTTCGCTGACTTGGTCCCTCTCGTCCACCCAGCGTTTCAACAGAAAGTCTGATCTTCAGAGACACCACCGCATTCACACAAACGAACGGCCATACGGATGCAACTGGCAAGATTGTGGAAAGCGCTTCATCCAGCGCAGTGCCCTCACCGTACACCTTCGAACGCACACAGGCGAAAAGCCTCACCAATGCGAAGTTCCTGAATGCAGAAAGCCATTCGCCGACGTAAGCTAGATTCACTGATCGCTCGAGATAGGAGACTCAAGCGCTGACTTTGTATGTTCAATAGTCCTCGAGTTTGGCCAGACATCGTCGTATCCATAGGGGAGAAAAGCCATACCGTTGCCAAGATGTTGGCTGTAACAAAGCGTAAGTGTTTCTCGCGATTCCAAACCACACTTCCTTGACGATCCTCCATTCCTTTCCCCATGTCGCTCCCCCCATCTGCGGCACTAACCGCCATTTTAACAGTTTCTGCAGAAAAACGACCAGAGACAAGCACCATACCAACTCCCATCGGGGTGGTATCAATCGCTCCATGACGCCCAGGCAGCAACTACACCCTAGCTTCGGCTCCGGGTTCGATCAGTTCCACATGTCGGCACCGCCCGAGCTTACAGCCAGCACCGATAGTAGCCCGGCTGATAGCACTGCCTACTCGCCTGCTGCTTTGGAAGGTGACTGGTCTAACCAAAATTTCAACAACTATACGCACCTGCCAAACTTGCAGGAAGCGTCGATCGCCCTTCAGAACCAGATCAGGTCGCAGCAGATACCACAGCTCATGTCCTATATGCCATCAAGGGTTTTGCCGTCCTACTCTGCGCCTCCCCCAAATATGATAACCCCACAGATGCCGCAGCAGGGGAGCTTCAGCAGCTACTCACCTTCGCCTGTGGAGTCCGCTCAACAACAGCCATGGGCGACAGGTTTCCAAAACAACCAACGCCAGTATCCACGTGTGCTGACCTCCAACGACACCGCTCCCAGGATGTTCTCACCCTATCCGGCGCCACCCAACATGCTGCCCGGTCAGAATGACTTTAACAGTCAATATCCGCCGCCTCAACAGCAGCAATCATGGGGTATGCCTCAAAACCAGGGCCAGCAGGATCAGCGTCAGTATTCACTGCCTTCTCCGTCGCAGCCCTTGACACCGGTACCAGTTTCTGCCGGTACTGGAACCATGCAACCACTGCAGCCCATGCCGGGCCATATCTATGGCGCGAGACTCGTCGGTGATGATCTCAATGACCACTTTTTCAAGGTCGAAACGACTGCCGATGACAACAATCCGGGAATGACGCTGCCAGATGCGAGGTTTGCTGGCTTGTAAAAAAAAGAAGAAGAAAAAAAACAGATCGCGGTCAGTCCGTCAATTGGCAAACTCGGCTTGCGGTTGCCTTCTTCTCTTTCCCTTGACTTCCGGAGTTTGTACGGGTATTTTTCCCCTGCTCTTCTGTCCCTTCGTTGTCTTTTTAATCATTCGGGCATGGGATTTGGTGGGGTCTTTTGCATATGAGATACCTGAAAGTTTCAAAACACGCACGCACGCACATACACACACACACTTGTTTGCATAATGGAAGCCCTGGGAAGGAGTGTTGCTTTTGGTTGTGCTTGGCTTGGTAGATGGTTGGTCCTTATCCTTCGCTTCTTTGTAATTTCCTTGTCTGTTATAATTAGTGATTCAGGTTGGCTTGAGATTGATATTGTATGTATATCAAGGGCATGGCATGACATGACATGACCATGATGGGCTATGGAAATGTAAGATGGAAGGATCGGTTGGATGAAAGCAAGGGGGAGGGAAAGGGAAAGGGAAAGGGACAGTTGGTAGAGATAATGCGACCCGGATATAATACCCAGGGATATCGAGCCGTGACTACTAGGGCAAAACTGGGTGAAGAAAAGTGATTCGGGATAGGAAGGGGTATGAAGCAGCAGTGAAGTAACAGAAAACACATATGCAATAAGAACGTCTTGAGTAAACAAAAGACACGCATGGGTGTAAGATAGTGAGGTGTTTCGATTAACTGAGACGAATATGTTTGCTGGATGGACCGATGGGTTGGGTGGGCTTGGTTTGAGTTTGGGCTGGGTGGGAAGCATATTGAAAGAAAAAAAAAAAAATTTAACTTGGCACTTACTTGATGAATCATAGAATTTTCCTTCACATAGTGACAGATATAAAAGTTTGAAGTGTTCGTGCCTTTTCGCAGAAAGTGTACTTGGTGTGTGTAGCCCGTGATAAACTCGGAACATTGGACAAAGTGTGCGCTTGCTCCGTTAACTTGTTGTTCCATGATAGTGAGTATTTGTTTGTGTGATGATTGCTTAATGAAGTGGACACAGTATGAAAGGAGAATATTATGAGAATAAGATCAGGGGTCGAGATGGAATAAAAGAAAAAAGAAAGAAAAAAGAAAGAAAGAAAGAAAGAGCGAGAGGTAAAGTAAAGTAGGTGGTAAG